AATGTATGGAGAAATTCTTTGTGACAAAAGAAACAATTTTACAAAAATTACGTTGAAATAATAATTGTGAACGAAGCTGTTTAAAATTTAAACTAAGAGTGTCGCATGCTTTGCACTCATAGGAACCATGAAACATCACGTTTTTTTTAGAATAGATAGAAACGACTGTTTTTCTTCTATCTCATTAAAGATTTTATTATGCGACTATGTATAATATTTAAATTTATCGCTATCTTGAATCTCTCCTAAATCAAAATGATTTGCTTTTTGCTACAAGTAATCAGTCTGCTTTTTTAAGGCTGCAAACATTTTCAAACATTGAGGTAACATTTAGTATAAAAAATTATTTATGTATTGCTTAAACATATTTTATGTTCAATTTTTCTTTTAACAATATGAATAAAACAATTTTTCAAGTAGAATAAGTTTTATTAAAAAGAGAAACGATAAGTTTAGATATATGCATAGTTGTAGCAATTTAATTAAAACTTGAAAGCAATTTGAAAAATGCAAGTTAAAATCTAAAAAATGAGAGTTAAAATTCGTGATTATCTGAACAACTTCATATTTATATATACTCTACGAATCACATATATATGAATTTAGAAACCTAAAAAAATATCGAAAAATTTGTAAAATAATTTCTGTATATTCATGGTTAGATTTTGCGTTAACCCGCGAGTGGATGCGTATTGGTCATTTTCCCGTACTTTTTCGTTTTCTACTTATATCATCTAATCTATTGACATTATCGTATTTTCGCTTTTACGTAAATTTTCTTTGATATTTTCTCATATAGCATGGAGAAGTAGACGACGTAGACGACGCGCTTATTTCTATGTGAAATTTGATACGTTTTAACAGTCGGTCTAAAAGATCATAGCGCGCCTACTAACGTTAGTCTTTTATCTCTGCCGCGTCAGCGTCGCTCGATGTGCCGCCGAATGTCTATTGTCTTTCCGACATCGTAGTTGGACGAACGGTCTCTTTTTTTGTTGAATCAATAAAATTTTCAACAGCACGCGTAATCGGAGTATATCGGAGTATATATTCTTGATTCAATAGCGATATTATTAAAATTAAAACTTGAATTATTGAAACAATACATAATGTGATAATTTTAATATTGCCATTAAATCAAGAAGATTTATTCTCTATTTCTAAATTTATCAAATAAATTTTTAAGTTTATTAAATCAATGTTTAAGTTAATCAAAGTAAAACGACAGAAGCAAGAAATTCTTATTTTATTTTATTAAACTAAAAGAATGTCATTTTTTACTAATGCAGTTAAAATAAAAATATGATTTTATTTTTAATATATTCACATATGTATAAGTTTAATATGTTTCTTAAACATATTAGATATAGAAATGGTAGAGAGAAAAAAAGATGAGAAAAAGAAGAAATAGTGAGACATAATAAAATTATTTCCTTCAATTTTAATGTTTCTTTTAATACTTGGATTGGTAATTTATTAATTATTACTTAATTATTACACATATATATGTGCTTAAATATATATTTAAGCCCACTAACGTTGACCCTGTTGGCGCCCACTCCCGGATTAAATATGATAAAGTAACACACATTTAAGATCTACGTATGCAAGAAATGCGAAAAAGATAAGGTGATTGTGTTAGTAACAATTGTCTCTACGTTATCATCATTCTGGAATTGATTCCAGCTCCCCTCCCTCCTTAAGAGCTGCTCGTTTTACAATAATATTACTTATACCATATTTCATGCACTTCGCGCACATCTTTTTACTTTGATGAGGCATTTGAATGAAATTTTCTTTTCCACAGCGCCGCCGCGACTGCAAGCGCTGAGGAATCGCGACGCAGGCAGCACCGGCTCCACCATCAGGGCTTACGCGCTGCGGCTGGCTGCCGACAAGACGACGACGTTCTCGCAGAATATCGACAACTTCATCCAATGCACGAAGGAAGGCAAAGAAGCCAGTCCGCACGTGGTGACGCGCAACATGCGGCAGTTCATGTCGGGCATGAAGAACTACCTGGTGAACGGCGAGCCCGAGTTCGAGCGCGAGGTGGAGAAAGTGCGGCTGAAGCTGCGGCCGAACGAGTTCCTCAACATCGACGCGATCCTCGAGGAGGTGATGATGGGTCTGGTGGTGACGCCGTTGCGGGAACACGTCTACAAATTGTTCGTCGAGCACTACGCCACCACCGGGTCGCTGCGAACCCTCGCTGAGAACATCCAGCACGCCTACGGCAAGCACATGCACGAGCTCGGCGTTCGAGTAAGTAGAAATTTCAGAAGAAGTCGAAATGAAGCCAATGCGAGACCTTGTTAAATCACCTTTAGGGATTTATTTATTTTTTCCATCTACCTTTCTCTTTCTTTTTTACTGTCTGTCAACGAAGAGCATGGCTAGAATTGGAGAAAATGAGGAAACAATGATCGTATTTCACGATTTCGTTACAACTTCTCAGGCAACTAATTGTGACTGACTGTATAAACATGATAGAGGCAACCTTGTTCTATGTATTGATTGAAATCCATTACGATCCTGTTAATTGTATATTTTGTTTTGTAATAACTAAAATACGAACATGCAGCAACATAGCCATCTTGTCTTAATATCGAGTTCAGTTGCTCAATAACGCAGGATAAGAAGGCCACATATAAAATATATATCCTGGTAGTTCCAGAGTCTCCACGGCCCTTAATTATAGACTAATTTCACTTCGTCCTTTCATATGCTTAATTATTTTATGAGTAAAAATTGCATTTACCAGAAACAATATATTATACACTTGCAAAAAATTTCATTCTAGCAAGTAACACATCGCTTAATTTGATTCAGTCACGATAAAGAATATAAAATATAAATATATGAATAGAAAATTTCGAGAGACTCGAAAATTTATTTTGCTATTACCAAATTAGATTTTTCTATTTTTTAACTACAATATTATTCCGATTTTAATGCAACTCAGGAAAAAGTATTTATGTTCTAAAAGAATATAAATTTTACGATTTTGTGCACATTATTTCTCTCAAGATAAATACTAAAAAAAAGCATATAAACAACATATCCTTGGAGCTATGTAACTCCAATCTCCCCTATATATGCGATATGAAGACAAAATTCACATATAATTTTATATAATTATATATAACTTATATATAATCATATATACAATTTTATATAATTTTGTAGAATCATTTTCCCAGGATTACACAGACTTTTTGCTTTGCTCATCAACTTCGACATTTCTCATTTGCCCTTTTTGATCATCTATCCTGCTTTATCATTAATAACCGCAATTTTATTCACAGCCTAAGATTATGCCGCCTTCCGAGGACAATCTGGAGCGCATCTTCAGGTGTATCGAACGGCTGCAGAAGGTCGACTCGCCTTTGGACAAACTAGAGAACCTACTGGCGACGATCTCGGCCCTCTTCAACTCCGTAAGTTACTTTAGCTTCGAGTTCTTTCGAGCGGCAGGTATCACGGCTTGTAGAATCATAGAAGTCGCTGATGAACGGTCGCGAAACGTTAACAAAAATTCAATTGGTGCTCATCGACCATTGGATTTCAGGTGAAACAGGCAAACTCGGGTCGCCATGTAACACTGGGCGCCGATGATCTGTTGCCGATGGTCGTCTGGGTGCTGGTGCGCGGCAAGGTGGTGGACGCGGAGATCGAAGCCGAGTACATGTGGGGTCTTCTGCACCCCTCGCTGTTGACGGGCGAGGGTGGATACTACCTGACGACGTGGTCGAGCGCTGTGCACGTTCTCAAGACCTTCAAATCGAGCCAGAGCACTATGTCGACGTTGAACGTAAGTCTAATGAAAGATTATCTCCTTTTTTATTTCTTCCACAGCACGCGTGTAATTAAAACAAATTACAATGAATTAGATACTTAATCCTTTCAGGACGAGAGACATTTCTTTTCATCTCCCTACGGCCTTTATGCATGTATTTCAGAAACTATCGATCCGATATTCACAAAAATGTAGGGATTTTTGGGGTGCTCTTTCCAAATTTGAAGTCAAAAATGTAAAATTCAAAATGGCGGATCAAATATGGAGATTTTCAAGATGCCAAATTATGTAAATATGACTCAATTTCCGTGGAACTTCATACTCTCTAAATTTGAATTAATGAAAATCTTGACTGACTTCCAGTTTCGCTCTTCTTGGAGCTCATCAGTATCACACAAACTTTAGTTAGCGACAGACTAGAACAAACGATATTTATAATATATTTACATACTATATACACCCTACCATTGATCAAAAAAATATTTACATTATATTTACATCTCTTATACATCTAAATATATACAACAAGAAAGATTTATATTGGATATTTATATTATTTATCATTTTTTCCGCCTTATTGGGTCCGTCATCTTGGATCACAGAATTTTAAAAATCTAAGTTCAGATTCGGATTTAACGACCCCAAAAACCCATAAAATACATACTTTCCTATAATTATCTCCCCGAGCAACTCTCCGTTCTGAAAGAGTTAAATATGATGCTTTTGTTTCTCACATTGCTTGGAAAATATTTATTGTCTTCTTCTTCTTGTTGGCATCGGCTGCAAGCTGCACTAAAGGCCAGTTATTGACCCAAAGAATGTTAGAGAGTCAATGTAGATAAAGTGTGATATCAATTGTTAATTCTTTGTTCACATAATAAAATTGATATAGTGTGTAGTATAATTATAGTCCTAGATTCTTCTCTCCACAGTAACTTAATTTTACCTGCGGACGCGGAAGTTACTCAGCCCGCGCAACCTGGTTATTTATGTGTTATTTATTGTGATGTAATAAATAACATCAAACAATTAGTCCATAGATAAATCACACGCTCGACCAGCACGAGAGAAAGGCACAATGTCGGAAAAATTAACCTAGATAACAAGCTTCTAAAAGACGTCTTAAAGATATCTAAAAGACGTTTCTTCTTGTTTGTGGACGTTTTTTAGAACTTTGCGCTGTCAAGGAATCTTTCAAAGACGCCCTTAAGACATTTTAAGATGTCTTAATATCCTATAGACAAGTTCACCAAATTCCAATTGGATTTCCAGGGATCCGGAACGCCGGACTGCTCGTCCGTGTTGCGAATCTTAGTGCCCGACGAGTTGCACGGCTCTCTGAACACCAGGACGCTGCCGGTGCGACCTAACATGAACACCCGGGAAATCTGCCGCATTCTCGCGCATAAAATAAGATGCACCAATCCTCAAGACTACGGGCTCTTCAAGTTGGTGCAAGGAGAAGGTAATTATTCAATTATTCATATAATACTACAGTATAAAATATTAAAAAAAAAACAATATTTATGTTGATCTTTTTCTATTTAAATTCGCCATGTTTTTTCCAGTGTCAGTTGACTTTGCATCTATTCTGAATTTATTATTATTCTGATTATACCAACCATATATACTGAAAATGATCATCATAGGATTTTAGCGTACATTGAACTAATGCACACTTTTCTCACAAAATTATTGCAGAAACCTTGCTAGGAGATCACGAGTGCCCGCAAGAACTCTCCCATTGCCTTTTCGCGTACAAGCGAATAGACGCGAAGATAGCGTGGCCCAAGACTAGCTCTTAAGAGCTCAAGGATATCCTCGTCATTCAATTCATATAGTCTCACCGAGAACACATCCTCATCATAAATTGGCACTTCTACCGCCTTCTTCGAAATGTAAGCCACATCTCGCACATCGAGCTCATCATAAGACGAAACGTTTCTCATTGTTTTTTCAGGTGTGTATCTATCAACTTCTTCCAGAGTGCATAAAAAATTTTCCTCAAAACTTGCTATGTGAATTGCATTCGCCCAATATTGAGCAGGCGTAAGCTGAAATCCCGCGGTTTTTCCTTTTTCCGTTTTCTTACTTTTTCGTACAATCTCTTTAATATTCTACAGATATTTCAACATTTTTTTTTTATTTTGTTTTGATTATTTTAGATCAATTGAAACATACTTCATAAATATTTCGACCAAAAATTTGAAATATTCGCAATATTTGTCAGTAATCATCGATTTTTCCAATAAATCAACGTTTCTGGGAATATTTAAAATACTTTCAAAAACGTCGATTATGTGCTTTGCACAAAGAATGGTCTCCTTGTGATAAATACGATTACTGACAAAAAATTTGTCGCGTTCATTAACGTCATATTGCATGAGCGATTCACGTTTCTATTAAGTTTCTCAAAGTGCGGATTCATCGAATTACCTCTACTTAACATTGAGCGACGCATTTATATCCAATTCCGCAAAAGGAATTTCAATGTGTTCGAAATTTCCCGGCGGAAATTCTCTCTTCTCAGCACTGCCGCTTCCCGAGAAAATTGTGAATTCTTACTTGTGAGTGAAAAGCTAACATTAGATAAAACGAAAGAAAAAAAGAGAGGGAAGGAAGGAATATGTGTGTGTGTGTGTGTGTGTGTGCGCGCGCGTACGTTTGTGTGTATGTCTATATGTGTCTTTAAACATTCGCGCAAGTATTTTGGGTACTTAAAAACGTGCGAAGGAAAGATTATTCGTATCCGGATGTGGTCATCCCAAATTAAATTAATCTTAATATAAACATTAAGCTAAGTCTCTCTTTCCCTGGTTAGGAAATCTCGAGCAGTATCATTGCACAATCGACATTGCGATATCCGTACGTTACTTGATGATAGAACAGTTCGGCGTACAATTTTAACTTTCAGCAGATGGTATTCGACTGAAGATGACTGAATGACTGAAATGGCTGAACTTTCTAATCTATACTTGTATGTACGCTACATTACAAACATGCTCGTCGTATCAGCAATTTTGGCTCTCATTGTCTTGCATTTTACTTATTTTAATAAAAAAAACTTTATAATTATCTCAGTAAGGGATTTACTAGATTTTATATACAAATCTAATACAAATTTTATATACAATAATTTATATATATATATATATATATATATATATATATATATATATATATATATATAACAATACTATATATAACAAATTTTATATACAATAATATATATATATATATATATAACAATACTTATTAAAATATTTCTTATAATTAAATTAAGATGTCATTTTAATTTATTTGAATTTTCTAATTATCTGATTTAAACTTTTCTTTTTTGATATCACAAACGTTAGGAAGCTGATATGTGAAGTTGGACTGACTTGAAAAATTTATCCACAATATCAGAAACTTTTAATCGAATTTTCCCAAAGTTCGTGATATCTGCTGGAAATTAATAAACACTTACAGTGGGAATTATCGTGTTACATTGTACGGCCGAAATTCTCGATCTTTCGCGACGTATCAGCTGTCGCTACAGTCGATACTGCGGAATGGACCACTGATTGAATTTTATCCGAGTGCAATGAAAAAAAAAAGAGGAGAAAATCGCAAATAGAAAGAAGTCCGCGTGCAAACGCGGCTGTGTGCATGTGTGGGTGTGTATGCGCGAAACGAAAATCTCGCGGAATGCGCATGTTTCATTTCGCGCTCGCACCAAATATATACAATGTGTGTCGCGAAAAATCGTACGTATTACTCAGTATTCGGTGTATCGTGGACGTTTGCAATAATAAAAAAAATAAATAAATAAAGGAAAGGACGCCGCCACTTGTTTCAAGTGCGGCTCCGGACGAGCAAAGTGGGATTCGAGTCGAGAGAACATTGGTAAAGACAAAGAAAAGAATGGAAAATTGGAACTGAATGCTCTAGATAAAAATTTGGCACGGCCCTATACATCACGATTTAACATGATGAAAAAGTTATATTTGTCTTTTTGCTTATATAAGTATAAAAGAACAAATAATAAACAAAAGAGCGTATCTGGTAATCAACCTGAAACGATCGACTTCGTGTCTCTTCTTCTTCTTCGTCAAAGCTACTTAAATAAAATGACAAACGGATTCGTCCAGATCGATATATTGCTGTTATTCAATGTGCAATTGATGTGCAATCCAATTCGCTCTCTTCAATCAGTATAATATTAATGTATCGATACGCACGGTCCCGTTACGATGTGTTACGATTAAAACGCGAATGGTTTCTGGACTCGGAAGCGACTTGGCGAGTACTATACTTTATATACGAAAGACAAGAATCGAAACGCGCTATACGTTTTCTATAATCGAGCGAACTAGGAAAAGAAAAGAAAAGAAAAAAAGAAAGAAAAAATCGTAAAGTAAGATTTCTCGAGGACGCGAGGACGTGTTTTTAGAGTAGAGAACGAAGAAGAGGACTAGCTTAGATTCTATTTTAAGTACTTTCTACGAACGAGCGAGTCGCGAATTACTAGGTAGACATAAGCAATCCGTAATTCTTAAGCGAGTTTCGTATAATCGTTCTGTCAGTTTCTCTCTTCATTTTTCTCTTTTACTTTTATTCTCTTACCTTGCGAGTTGTATACATTTTCTCTGTGCGCGACATATAACATGTGACTTGACTTTCTTCTCTTCTTCTTTTCCCGACGATGAAACTTGCCAGGCTGATTTGGATATCGATCGAAGGCTGTGTGTAATAACTCCTGTTATACCGTGTGTGTGTCCGTGAAATTGTATAACGACGATAATAATAATTATCGCTATCGTGGGTCAATTTTAATTCGATAACTATTATTATCGTTAATTGTTATCGGCCGTCGCGCCAATAACGTAAGCGCCGCAATAATGCGTAAACGGTGATACGAAATTATTAGAAGGTATTAATGTAGATTGACGATTTTCAGAGAAATTTTCGCGCGAGAACGAACGACGTTAGAGGATATTTTTTGCTGACAAAGAGGGAGAGAAAGAGAGAGTTCATGCCAATCAGCCTTGCATTTTTATTGTCTTAGAATATATACGTACTCGTCATATGTATATGTAATAATTAACGAACTATGAATGTACATTTCCTCATCATCTCCTCACCCTCTTCCTTTGCAATCTGCTCCTCTTCCTTCTCTTCCTCCTCCTCTTCCTCTTCCTCCTCCTCCTCCTCCTCCTCCTCCTCCTCCTC